CTTTAGTTTTTTATATGATTAGCAACATGCCAGATTTGTCCTTTAAGAGTCAAAGAAACAGAGGGATAAAGGCAGTTTAGTAGCCTGGCCATATATTGCTTTCTTCTCGTATCTGTAACGGTAGGATTTGGTTTAGTCATGATAATAGCTTAATGATTAAGGGTTTGAGCAGTACCCTTAAATCATGGACTATACTTAGAAAATGAAGGAGAGCAGGCACATTAAGATATGACCTAGAGAAGATAACAACCAGAGTATAAGGTCAGTGAAGGAAGGGATATGGTATGCCTAACATATTTCCAAGGGAACTTGAGGAGCTGCAGAAAGAGATAAGAGACATTGTAAAAATTGAAGTGGGATAAAATACTCCCAAAATTTCAAAGAGGATCCATGTGGCTTTCAGAACCAGCTGTTATAACAGCCATGGAATGATGAAGCATTGGGCAACTTCCAGCATAAAACAAGAAAGGATAGGGGAAAATACCTTAATCAAGAATATCAACAAATACAGGAATGTAAGAAGAGGAAAATGATCAGAGAAATCACAGGAAAATTTGCAGCTAAAGTAGAAATATTCAAGTGAAATGAATCTGATAGAGGTGAATCAGGATAAAGAAATATGGAACTGCTATATTGAAATCCTTACAAATGGGACTGCAGAATGACACATTTGTTGGTAAGTTAAGATGCCTGGTGACCATGTGTAGGGGGTGGGTGGGTAGGTTGCAACTACACGGAAGAAGATTGCCTGCTTCCAGGGCATGTTTTGATTTCCCAATCTAAATACAGCCCTGGAATTCCCTTGTGTCTCCCAACCAAATCTTAACCAGGTCTGAGCCTGTTTATCTTCTGAGATCTGATAGAGGCAAATGAGGCGAAAGGAAGATGGAAAGACTGTACTGAAAGCCTTTACAAATAGGATTACAGAGTGACAGAAGCATTTATAGACAAAGAATATATTGCCAGAAACCAATTCCACTAGAAAGTAAGGTACAACAATCAAAAGATGAGCTGTGAAAAAGGAAAGCACTAGGCACAGATGAAATACTCATTGAACTCTTTAAAGCTGCAGGAGACGAGGTAGTTAAAGTTAACAGCTCTCTGTCAACAAATAGGGGGAAAAGCTGTGTGGCATAGAGATTGTCAAAGATCACTCTGTGTATACTGAAGAAAGGAGTATATGGAAACAACCAAGCCATTGTACTAATTCCTCACATAAATAAAGTTTAGCTTAAATTTTCATATGGAAGAATAGAGACAAATATGGAAAGACAAACATGAAAGGAACAGGCAGGTTTCACAAAAAAAACGGAGGTATGAGCAAAGATAGCTACCATGGAGAGAATAGGAGATTATAAGGAGGAGGTTAACCTTGGCTTCATTGATTACAGTAAGGCCCTTGATAGTGTAGATTATGTCAGAATGTGGAACATATTAAAGCTAAAATGGTCAAAATCTATTTCTGAGGAACCTCACAGTGAACAAGGGAGGACTAGAACTCACAGTCTCCCAGTTTCTAGTTCAGTACTTTAACCACTACACCAAACTAGCTCTCATTTTTTAATTTTCAGAGTATTGTGTAGATTTACATATGTATTTATTTTGGAAGTTGCAGCAATTCAGTTCTGAAGATACATAAGAAGGCAACCAGGCTTATCAAGACATACAAGCACATTTGATCTCAAGCTGGTTTCTCTTCCCTGCATGTCTAATCTAATATTATGAATCACTTTGGTACATATCTGTAGTATAAAGAGCTTCTGTACAAGCAAGCAAGCATACATGCTATCCCATATTTGCTATTAGTATCAAGACCCTAGTTTGTAAAAGAGAAGAAACAGGTACTGTCTGATGCTAACCACATTACAAGTTGTTTCTTTTTTTTTTTTATTTACTGACAGAATGTATATCCTTGAAAAAAAAAATTACAGGATTGCTTCCCAGAACAAAACTATCAAATGATCAAGACTAGGTAAAAACTTATAGGTAGCATATTTTCTTCTTCAGAAGGAAGAGCTGTATAAACTGAAGGTTGCTGATGCTAATAATAATAATGTAGAGATAGTATAAAGCTGACATGCAGTACTAAAAATATTTCATGGCTGAGTAGGATAGGAACTGTAATCAAACATTTGGAGAATACTAGAAAGTTGGCTGATGTCTAGAACTATCTCTTACCTCCTGAAAGTGGAACAGGCATAATTATTTGCAGGAATGTGGAACAAAAATATGAGATGGGGAAGGGGGTATTTCAATGAGCTTATTTTAACATATTTGACATAGGAGTAAGGATAAAAAGTAGTACTACTGTAGAGAAGAAATTGATGGAGAATTTGCTATAACAGAAGGATGAGAGAGGCATAATTAAAATCTTACTTTACATCACCCTCATTGATTTATAAGAACTGAAATTATCTGTTCTTCCCACCTAGGTTTCAAATGTGCTGGCAGGAGTTACTGTACTGGCTCCTTTTAATCTGAACATAGTGTTCAAGTTTAGGAGTCTTTCTTCAGACGTATATCAGGAAGAGTTAAATATTTTTGATATCAACGCAGCATCAGTTGGAAGTAAACAGGCAATGATTTTAGTGCTAGACACTGCCTTAAGGCAAAAGAAATTACACTGTCAGGAGGAGGATATGTAACTGCTGCTATTTTGGTGTTTCATGTCTTTGTAGTCACATAGTTGAAACTGATCCAGATGAGGAAGAAGAGAAAACTAACAAAAGATGATTACCTACATGTGAGTGGTTTCTTCCAGTCCCTGTTTCCTTCCATATGTGCATTCTTTTGAGTTGCATGCTCAAAAGAATAAAATATATCTTTTAAAAGATTATACATACATACCATATTGTATGCTCATTTTATTAGGGTGTATTTATTTGTCTTCTCTCACTAACTTAGGCCAGGTGAAACAGTAAAAGAAAATACGTGAAATACAGGAAGTTTGTAAGGAGGAGTTTCCTAAATGCAGAATAAAACGTGAATATTTATTTAGTATACTAATAATGACACTATTTGCTATAAAAGAATATATTCCTGCTTGATTGAGGAAATATAATAAGCAAAGATATAAAATCCAAGCTACCAGCTTTTAAAGTAACTTCAAATCAAGTAACATAAGATTTTCTGAAGCAAGTTTCTTATTCTGTATCTTCCTATTTTAGAACACGTAGATCTTCAATTCTTTAATTCTGGCTTTGCAAACTGCGTTAAATCCTCTTATGCATAAAGATATGTACATAAAATATTGTATCCTGAAATAAGGGATAAATAGATATAACATGATTGTAGCTACTTAGAATTTCTTTATGAGTAAAATTAATTATCCCTGTCAGTTTATTGTATATATTGGATCTGTGTATGTCATGTATTGCTCTATAGGGGATTTTATACTCTACTTAAAGGAAGATCAGAACAATGAAAAGTATATGCATATGATAATCAATTGCCAAGCATAAAAAATATGACCATTCCAGGGCTCCAAGTTAGAGAAGACCATTTAGGGACCCCCAAGGCATGAATCTCTATAATTGAGAAAAAGGGCTAGCTAACATGTGCCGTAGTTCTGCTTGCTCTCCCTCCCCAGCTTATAATCTGCTGCTTCCCAGATATGTGGGCTTCATTACTCTTGAGAAATTTCAGCCAGCCTGAACTTTGCAGAGAATTTTGAAAGTTAAAGTCCAGAATCTAGAGGGTGCTAAGGTTGGACCGCTGCTATTCTTTTATATCTGTGAAGGCTCTTTCTTATTTATTCATTTAATTGATTTATATAGCTGCTTATTTTGCAATCACAATTCTGGGTTGCGCACACAAGATTAAAAGCCAAATGAACAAGAACAAATAGTAACAAACAACAATAAAACAATAATGACACCCGATGACAATGAAATTCAAACCATGTAACTCCAATCATGTTTTTAAAAAACCCACAACTGACAGGCCCCATTCGTGGGGGAACATCCAGGTTTCAAGGGTTTATGAAATGCCAGTGGGATTGTGGCCAAACAAATCTTGGGAAGTATGTTGTGTAATCATCCCATGTTTTAGAATCTGGGAAAATCAGGAATTGTATTACGAGGAAAGGGTACATGGATGTAGGAGGTTTCTTGTATTCAAATTCAAATCAATTTTAACAGATGTTTTTAACTGGCCCACTGCAATAGAAAACTTCATCTCACTATACAAGCCCAAGATCACACCCTTGTTAACTCTGGATCCTCTCTAAGTGGCTCAAATACTCCAGGATCAACAGGAATCAACCACTGAAGATGTCTCTTGAAATATTTGTGTGTATGATGGTGAAGAGAGTGAAGGATGTGCTCAGTAATATAGAAATCATTCAAAGGTTGACAAATCAGATGTTAGATATATTAAATTGCAAAATCACTATTATGGTTTTCTGACTGTAGGTTCTGTTTTTTTCTAAACAGTATGGTATCGCTTATCAATATTACAATTCATGCTTGTGACAGTTTGGAAAGAGAAACTTAAGAGAGGTTACTGCAGCAGCTCCTAGGATATGAGAAAATGTTAATAACATGCTGTGATTTGAATGAAGCTGACCTTTATGCATGGACTTGAGCCATCATTTATAAGAACACCTGCACTTACATAGTATATTATTTACCATTCATATCTATGATTATCTAAACAGGAAATAAAAGGGGAGCCCCAAAAGCCTTTGGTGTTAAGAATTTGTTTACAATTGTTAAGAAATTGTAAATTTTCAGTGGGTCAGAAGGGGGGCATTAGTAAATATGTGACTGAGGGGTAGTGTAATTATATTGGCTGTAATTCTAATTAAATTTAAATATAATTGAAATCAATTTTGAGTTTTGTACTAATCCTACATATTAGTTTTAGAGTATAATCCTGGCATACCATTTGTGTATCAAAGTGTGACATTTGCCCAGAAATAGTTGTGATATCATGGCATAATCTAGGTATTGTTACATATTTAAAGTAGAGATCTGAGTAGACGTATCCTACTTTTCCAGTTCTAACACCTCCAGGATGAAAGGAATGTCTCTGCTGGCAGCTGTCCCTCCAGGTGCTGAGAACTACAAGGAAAGGGAGTAGAACTAGCACCTTCTTTTCCATTTTTCCTCTTTGTGAGTGGAGGTTACATGGAAGAAGACTGAATAGAGCAATACTGACATTGTTAACACAGATATAAAGGACTTACCTAATTTGGCAATTGTGTTCTGAATATTCTGGGAGCTGTTGTATGTAGGCATCCCCACACTTGCATCAGCTTCATGGAGCAAAGAGGGTAAATCCCAATGATCTTCCTCAATGTGTCTGTCAGTGCCAGACTTTGCTATTTACAGACAAATGAAAAAAACCTATGATGGATCTAGTGACTACTACTAGATGGTGTGCTTTGTTGTGTCCAAACTAATTTGACCTTGAGAAGCTCTGCAAGGACGGGTGAAAGCACACACTTTCCATCTCTCTCTCTTTGTGCCATGTGCCAAGATATTCCTTAAATATTGTCTGCTCCTAATGTAGTTTTTCTCTTGTTCTGTATTATTGCAGACAATTGATTCTTGTACTTTGAACATCTGTGTTTCAGAGCCTAAGGTTGAAAAAAATAGCGCTAAGACTGTTTTGAGTTATAAAGGTAAAAGAAGATACAAATAGGCTAGGTATTTGATTGATGTCATAGTATCAGGGTATTCTAGCTGCATCCAGCTAGTTAGCCTCTTTTGAAGTATTGTGATGCCACACAGGAATCAATATGATGCTATTTTAATTGTTCTGATATATATTTATAGTGCTGAAACTATTTTTTATACAAGTAATCCTCAACTTATGACCATTCAGTTAGCGACCGTTTGAAGTTACAGTGGCGCCGAAAAGAGTGACTCATGACCATTCCTTGCAGCATCTCCACAGTCATGTGATTCGGGCACTTGGCAACTGGCATATATTTACAATGGTTGCAGCGTCCCAGGGTCACATGATTGCCAGTTGCGACCTTCCCAGCTGGCTTCCAACAAGCAAAATCAATAGGGAACCACGTGATTCACTTAATGACCACATGATTCACTTAACAACCAGCACGTAAAATGTAAGATTGGGTGCAGTCACACGATGCCTTGCTTAATGACTGCACTGCTTAATGATGAATTTTCCAGTCCCTATTGTGGTCATAAGTCAAGGACTACCTGTACATTGGCAGAAGAATTTTAGTATGCTTTAAAGTTATGTCATTAAAATGCTGTGAAATATTATGGAAGCAAAAGCAGATTTGGTTTTCCAGAGGTTACAAGAAAAATATTGTTCCTTCAAATTTTTATATATTTATTTTCACTTGGCCTCGATAATAAGGGTGGAGTAACTTAAAATCAGGCTGAGTATAATCATTGTCTTGGGAATTTAATGAGCAGTGAATTTCAAGATTCTGAGTAGTACAGGTCTTTAGAGTAAATTATACTGATTTCTTACAATGTATAATTTAGAGATTAAATATAGGATCTATATCTAAAGTGAATTTAAACATTGTAATCAAAATGAGAAATAAATATAAAATTCATTAGTAATTTTTATGATTCTGTAGTAATGCCTTATCAAGCACTATTTATGCTATGTTTTTATGCCATATTTTGCCTAGAAGTACTTTATAATGCAGCCTGTCATTTTTTAAAACTATATTTTATTTACGTCACCTGAAAAATGTTACTTGAAAAGATTTACATAAGTATACTGAATAAATATAGTTAAAACCAAAAAATGTTTGTGCTGAAACATTTGCTGAATACTTGAAATGAGAATTCTAAACACATTGTATATATGCAATACGCATATAGATGGAAAGCTTGGTTTGTGAACATTTACAAAAAATGCATTGCTTGGCAGGATAAATTTATTACTTGTGTTTATCAGGAATAAATAATGCCAAACCAATCTGATCTCCTTTTTTGATAGGTCATCCAGTTTAGTTGATCAGGGAAATGGGGATACATGGTATATCTTAACTTCAGCAAAGGATATTACAAAGTTTTTCATGATATTTTAGTAGAAAACTACACTTGCAAGACTAATTAGCAAGGCTAATTCCTTACCATCTATGCTGACAAAGCATTTTTTGTATTTGTTCAAGGTCCATAGTTGAGTCAATTGCTCACATTTTACTCCATTGACCCCTTTATGATCATTAGCATGCAATCTTCATATATCTGTTTCTTACTGCCTGTGCTGGCTGACCAGAAATTGAAATGGTTCACTTACTAAGTTTCAAAAAGTTTCAAAAAGTTTCAAATTTTTCACAGAAGCTTTCCGGAAATGCTGCAAAGTTCTACTCAATTGCTTTTGGCATTAGAAGGTTTTAGACTTAGTGCACTTAACAGGATTGCATAGATAATCTCAACTATACTATGTTATTTTCTTCACTTTTCCTTTCTTATATTGCTCCTTTTATTTTACATCACATTGTTCCATTAATTTAATTAATTAATTAATGGTCTTTGTCTATAAATAAATAAAGTGTCCAGCCAATATGTTGGCTGGATCATTAGATTTGTATAGAACTGGCTGAACAATTATACCCAGTGAGTGTACATCTGCGGCTTTGTGTCAAGCTGGAGGGGAATGTTGAGTGGAGTACATAGAACTCCATTTTAGGCTCTGTGCTTTTCAATGTATATTTATAAATGATTCGGATGAGGGTTTAGAAAATAAGATTATCTGATCTGCAGATGACCCCAAGATAGAGAGAATAATAATCACCTTAGAGGATCATATAAAGATTCAGGAGAATCTTGGCAGGCTAGAGCAGAAGGAAGAAACCAGTACAATGAATTTCAACAGTGACAAATTGAAAGGCCTACATATAGATAGAAAAAAAAATCAAAGACATGAGTATAGGATGTGGAGGAATTACACTGGTCAGCAGAACATTCAAGAATTGTGCAAGAAAGATCTGGGTGTCTTGGTAGGTGTACAGTGGAACCTTGGTTTACGAACTTAATTAGTTCCGTGACTCTGGTCGCACCCCGAATTGGTCACAACCCGAAGGAAATTTCCCCATAAAGTTCAATGTAATTACCGTTAATCTGTTCTGGCGTGGACGACAGGGAGGCGGCTATTGCTTGGAGGGAGAGTCCCCCTCCCTACGATCACATGTCAGGCGCGGAAAATGGCCGCGGACCACGTGTCGGGCGGAAAAATGGCCGCGGACCACGTGTCAGGGCAGAAAAATGGCTGCGGACCACCTGTCAGGGGCGGAAAATGGCCACGGACCACGTGTCGGGTGGAAAATGGGTGCGGACCGTGTCACGGGAGGGAAAATGGCCGCGTATCCCGTTCGTACCCCGAGGCAGAGTTCTCAACCCGAGGTAAATTTTTGCGGCTGGACTGGTCGTAACCCGAAAAGTTCGTTAACAGAGGTGTTTGTAACCCGAGGTACCACTGTATTCGCATGGGCATTTATTGCTCCTGCGATGATATAACTAGGGACTTCTTCCTGCTAAAATATACCCAAAGTGCTGCCATATTGTTCATTGAGAGCTGAGTGGCGAAAGCTATGTCTTCCTCTCTCAAAATCCTTAAATTTCATGTACATTTCAACATCAACTATACTGAACTCTAGGTTGGTAAATCTTTACTAGATAATTTAAAAATTTCTCAGAACAGTTTTAGCACTTCATCTCAAGAGTAATAACAAGAATAAAACAACCTTTATATTACAAATGAGAATTGAATAACAGGTTCCAGCAATGTGTGTTGCATTCTTTTTATGCAACACATATTAAAAGTTAAGAGGTTATGCTTCAATCATAGGGGTTAAGATGGTGATTGTGCAAATAGCGAATATGATTTCCCTGGAAACCGGGTTTAGATGATTGAATTGACCTGACATGTCATATCAGATTGTACTTATAAACCAGTTGATACTATTTTCATAAAAACTGCCATAAATAAACAAAATCGCTTTATTGCTGCTGAAAAATATCACATTCTTTGGAATGCCATAGCCTAGGCCCTAGAAAATAAAAAGTGTTCACAATTCCAGTACTTCCATGCAGGAGACGTGAGTTCTGAAAAACTTCAGTTTCTAACATAAAGGGTTTTGCTGGGGTATTTTCTCTTTAAACAAAGCATAGACAGATTACGGATGGGTCAGAAAGGTATTCATTTTGCATTTTATTTATTTATTTATTATGAATGCTTTTAAACTATTTCAGCTGTATGACTTTAATGTGAACACCACTCATACTGTGCAAAATGCATGTCAACTTCAATCTTTGCCCTATTCAGAATTTTGCAATGTAGTTTTCCTATACAAATTCATACCCCAAAGGCAAATAGACACTGAGATAAATATTAATGTAAAATATACAACACTGCCTTTATGCGCTGCATTAATGAAAATTACTTGAAAATGTGTCTATTGAGATAAATGTGTACAGTGTGTATTTTTCTTCAGAAATACACAATGTGTAAATTGAATGAAATGCACATGTCTGGAAAAATGAAAAACTGAGTACAACCAAAATGAATGAATTCCTTAGAATATAAAATGTACACTATAGCTATCCATACGGTGTTTTCTATAGTCTATATCAGCATCTCTCAATCTTGGCAACTCTAAGATGTGGGGACTTCAATTCCCAGAATTCCCCAGCCAGCCATGTG